TGCACTGGGAATGTACGGCTGCTTTTTGCCTGTAGCCCTGCGTACAGTTGGTCGTGGAGAGAGAGGTCCTGCTGTTCCTCCTCCAGATCCAGGGTCTCGTAGATCACCTTTAACAGGTCCTCCGTGTCTTCCACCTGAAAAAGGAACCCGTCTGCCTTTGGGCCCTGAGCCTCAATCTCACCCTCCTCCGAATCTGAGGTGTCCGACTGTTCGGCCTCTTCCCAGTCCCTTACAGTCGCTACCTTGTCTAGCTTCCTCTTTTTCCCCCCTTGGGTGCTGCCTGAAGTGCCCGGTTGGGGCTCATCCTGGGCTGGCCCCGGCTTCTGTTCCCTGAAGCTTTGAAATGTCTTGGACATCACTTGCGTCATATTCTGTAGGAAGTCTGTAAAAAGAGATCCAGACTCCTTCTTGATGAGCTTGTCTATACACCCCTGGCAGAGCTGCTTCCTCCAGGAGCTCGCCAGTTTCTTCCTACAAGTGGCACACTTCTTTTTCTGCTCACAAGGAGCTTCTTTCTCCCGGGGGGGGGGGGGGGGGGGAAATAAAGAAGAGTGGCCAAACAAAGGCCCTTGCCTTACTGCAGGCCTCCCCCGCTCCTGACAGATCTGCCTCCATGCTGCCGCAGACTCCGCCTCGGTGCGGCGGTTTTTCAGGGGCTGGTGGGCTCCGCCCCCCCCTGCGATCCCCCCTTGCCGACCTCCCTCTCACGGCCGCCGGTGGAGAAGCGGCCGTGGCACGGGTTCCTTCCACGGCCGTTCCATGCTCCTGCGCCGGAAGTGACGTCACCCGGCGCCCGGAAGTGACGCGTTCGCAGCGTCCAGACCTTCCACAGCCGCGCCTCCTGGCCATGCTGCCGGGATCCAGGAGCAGGTAAGACTTACCTGAAACCCCCGCAGGGAAAGGCACCAATGCCTCGGTCGGCGGAGCGGGCTCTACCCCCCTGGAGAGCCCCGCTGGGACCATCTGGGGCCGACGCCCCCACCCTACAAAGGGCACTCCAGGATGAATCTGGCTGAAAGGTCCCCCCCTCACAAAGCCCCTGCCTCGCTTGGAGGAAGGGGGGGGCCTTAGCCAGGGACCCCTGTACTCCGCCAGAGAGCCCAGACTAAAAATAAAAAACGGGCGTAGCTCCTTCCTGGCCGGAGGAAACACTAAAACTGGGGGCCAATGGGAGAGAGGACGCCTATAAAGGGAAAAAAAGGTGGAGCGGGTGTTTCCTGGGAGGAGCCCTATCTCTCAAGTGAGCTGTCCTAGAAGATGACTAGGGAAAATACCATTACATAGCAGCAAACAGATATTTAAAGCTGCTGGTGCCTCTGGAGTCCCACGGACATCAAGGTGTAGAGTCCTCCAGAGTCTTGCAACTGTGCATAAACCTTCTATTCGGCCACCACTAACCAATGCTCACAAGCAGAAACGGCTGCATTGGGCAAAAAATACATGAAGACTAATTTTCAAACAGTCCTGTTCACTGATGAGTGCCATGCAACCCTGGATGGTCCAGATGGATGGAGTAGTGGATGGTTGGTGGACGGCCACCCTGTTCCAACAAGGCTGCAACATCAGCAAGGCAGTGGCGGAATCATGTTTTGGGCCGGAATCATGGGAACAGAGCTGGTCGGGCCCTTTAGGGTCCCCGAAGATGTAAAGATGACCTCTGCAATGTATGTGGAGTTTATGACTGACCACTTTCTTCCCTGGTACAGAAGGAAGAACTATGCTTTCTGTAATAAAATCATCTTTATGCATGACAATGCACCATCTCATGCTGCAAAGAATACCTCTGCATCAATGGCTGCTATGGGGATAAAAGGAGAGAAAGTCATGGTGTGGCCTCCATCCTCCCCTGGCTTCAATCCTATTGAGAACCTTTGGAGCATCCTCAAGCAAAAGATCTATGAGGGTGGGAGGCAGTTTACATCTAAACAGCAGCTCTGGGAGGCTATTCTGACATCTGGCAAACAAATTCAAGCAGAAACTGTACAAAAACTCACAAGTTCAATGGATGCAAGACTTGTGAAGCTGCTATCAAATAAGGTGTCCTAGTAACATGACCTGTTAAAATGTTTAAAAAGTTAAAATGTTAAAAGTTTGATTGAAATAGCTTTTGATTTCAGTAAATATGCTGCAAACACAACAAAGACAATTTTCAGTTCTTTGACAATTTTCAGTTCTTTACAAACTATAAAGTGTTTTGAAACTTACCATGCGTAATAATTTGGAACAGTGCATTGTAAGTTTAGGTTTAAAAAAAATACTGTTATCATTAGGTTTGTTCAATAAAATGTGAATTGTACTCTTAATAGTTGATAACATGAGAATTATGCTGACTTATTTACATCAATTATTTAGGTAAATGAGAAAAATATAATTTGCATAATAATTTGGAACGCGGTGTATTTTCAATGGTACCTAAAACATGGTACAGTTTTGATGCCATTGTCATGTGGCAAATCGCATTGTGTGAAGATTGTCACCGAAAAGAAGCTCCTATTTGGGGCAACAAGCTTCACGAGATGAGAATTGCTGCGCAGTAAATTGCACAATTGCAACAACTCACATCGCGTGACCTTGTCGCCCATAAGAAGCCCCTGCTCCTTTTTGGGCAACAAATTTCAGGAAATGTGACTTGCCACGATTGCCTAGTAAATCGTGTGACAATTACAGCAAAACAGCACTGTGTTTTAGGTGCCACTGAAAATGACACCTGAACCTGGGTTTTAGTGCTTTTTTTTTAAATTCTGAGCAGAATTCGCAGTGATTTTGCTGTAATCCCAAAATGCCCAGGTGTGAACGAAGCAAACACTAGAACTTGAACTGCTCAGCAGGTGCTAGTACTGAGCACCCATGTGTTTTCGTGTAAGGGTAACCTGAAGGAATAAAGGTTTTCTCCTCATTGGGACTGCACCTTATTTACTCGCTCAGCAGATGCACTTCTGCTGAGCGTTAAAAGAGCCCGACATTCCCCTATCCTGAAAAGCACCCAATCGGTGCTTATCACACTGCAAGGTCTCTCCCCTCCCTGCTAGTCCCTGGGTGTGGTGCTGGAGACAGGCAGGGAGGTGAATAGGACATAAACAGCGCAATGTTGAAAACATTAAAAGCTTAAGTGCCCGGTCATACCAGTGCGTCTTGTCATTCGATTTGATCGTTTCAAAACGCATGACAAGTCGTACCGTGTTGTCAGCAATTGAAGAGGTCATATTGGTGCAATTCTGACTTGGTCAGAGTCGCATCGATGTTGAAAGTAGTGCATGCACTACTTTTTGCAAGTTCAGGTGCAACTTGCATAGACATCTGTCCTGCAAATTGCACCTGAAGTCGCACTGACATTCTACTTTGAAATAAAAGTTGCACGATTTCAAAGTTGGAATGATGTGACCAATGTCTAAGTCACCATAAAGCCCCTTTTGTTTTTAAAAGCCCAGACATCCCAAAAGCATCTCCGCCTAATAAAAACACAAACCCTTCATATTTTTTTTTTTTTCATCAAGACAAGTAGATGGTCATGAGGGAAAAGTAGATAGTCATGAGGGAAAAGTAGATAGTCATGAGGGAAAAGTAGATAGTCATGAGGGAAAAGTAGATAGTCATGAGGGAAAAGTAGATTGGGATCCCAATTTAGCCCCTTGAACAAGTAGTTTTTTTTTATAAAAATTTCCACACACCTGTATACAGCTAAATTGTTACTATTTTGTACCAGTTTTACTAACATGTAAAAGTTGTAAAACTTTCAGGCACTCATTTTTGTTTTACCTTTCTCACGAAGGGGTTGAGGCCATACCTCAGTTAATATATTTTGCAATTTGTTTGCATAATCAGTACTATAAACTCCAAACAGTTAATACTAAATTGTTATCCCAAATTTTTAACACCAATCATAACATTAAAAATAAATTGCACTGTTATTTTGTTACCTCACATATTAGACATGGGACATTTGATTCCTCCATCTTACAAGAGCATTCATGACAGACGTAATGTCCACACCGAGTTTCTACACAAAGTCCTATAAGAAAAACAAAAAAACTTCAGTCTGCCAGGTAAAACGAGAAGGGTTTTGCAAGTGTGTGTGTGTTGAAAGGCTAAGGTTACATTCGCACCTAGGCATTCCGGAAACATTGGCAGAAACACGTTACGGCCACGTTTTTGTTTTTTTTTGATGCGCTAAAAATACTCAACAACATTTGCGGTCTCATTTCTTAACACCATCCCAAACACGGACAGCAATCCCACATTTTGTCACACAACACGGTAAAAAGGAGCCACTTTGTCAAGCATACAGAAGCCCATTTATATCATTAGGCTTCCCTATGCAGTAGTATGAAAAGGGTACTAAAACAGCACAACACATCATACAGGTGTGAATGCAGCATTAAATTCCACCGATTTCATGTCCACCTAACATGTTACACCTGTATTTACGGCATAACATGTAGCTAAGCATGTGTTGCAGTTTTCTCCCCGGCAACCGCTGTCATTTTTTAAAATGAGTCAATCACAACAATCCATGAATAAATTAACTACAAAGTCACATCTGGCACCATAGCAGTCAGACTCTAGTTCTCAAAAGTAATCGCCACCCTTGCAGCCCACTGACACCTTCTCCAGCTCTCCAACTGAAATCCTGTACCTTCATACAAAACAGGAGTTGGAGGAAGAGTCTTGAGGAGCCTAGAATTTCACCCAGGATCCACTAATCGCGAGTGCAATGTTTTGCAGGTTCCTTTTAAACAAAAACATATGTACATTTTTTTCCCTGCAAAAACGTGTGCATTTTTTGGTGAGCTTCGCCTTTAACCGCTTTCCGACTGCCCTATAGCAGAAGTACCGCTACAGGGCAGGAGGGATGCACAAAATCACGTATATATACGTGATTTTGCATTGCGGGGTAGGGGGGCACTCCCTACCTGCACCGCTATTGGCTCCTCAGCATGTCAATCACCGGGTCCAGGCCAACTATTCTCAGCCAGGACTCTGATCATCCGCGGAGGTGACAGGGGAGAGGTCTGTATGTAAACACAGATCTCTCCCGTCAGTATGAACAGGCTGCTTTGTATTGCTCTGCACAGCAGAGCAATACAGAGCAGCTTGTCTGCATAATAAAACACAGCACACTATGTAAAACACCACAGGACACAGTTAACTCTTTTGATCGCCCCAGATGATAACCCCTTCCTCCTTTAGTACAGTGTCAGTGCTTTTTATTAGCACTCCTCACTGTATTACTGACAGTGGGGATGTCAGTGGCAGTTAGTTTCCCCCCAGTGTCAGAATACCCACCGCAGTCCCGCTATAAGTTGCTGATTACCGCCATTACTAGTAAACAAAAATTTCAGTATACATACCGCCATTTGTAGACAGTATAACTTTCTTGTAAATCAATTTAAACATATTGGGATTTTTTTTTAGCAAAGATATGTAGCAGAATACATTTTGATCTAAATTTAGGATGAAATTTTTTTTTTAATTTTTTACTGGATGTCTTATAGCAAAAAAGTAAAATATATAATTTTTTTTCCAAAATCAGTCTTTTTTTGGTTTATACCGCAAAAAATAAAACGCACAGGTGATCAAATACTACCGAAAGAAAGCTCTATTTGTGGGGGAAAAAAGACAAATTTAATTTATGTACAGTATTGCATGACCGCACAATTGTCAGTTAAAGTAACAAAGCGCTGTATCGCAAAAAACGGCCTGGTCAGGAAGGGGGGTAAATCCTCTGGACGGCAAGTGGTTAACACGCAAAGCTTTCTTGCGTAAACCTTCCTGGCTGGCCCTAAAGTAGCTGTGCAACCCCTCCAAGATTTCTAGTTTGGTCTTGACACATCTGCAAATAACTGTTTTTAATCATTTTGTCCTGGTTACACAGAGATTTTCTTTTCTATTTTATGCACTGTGTAAGGACCGGTGTTAATGGCTTTTATTTCAATGGGGTTTTGCCTTTTTATATAAGTTTATGGGCATGTAAAACCCAATGGAAACAGGTCAGAAGGTCAAATACACCTGTTAAATCAGATCATATACCCGAGAACTCATTCAACAATCCTGACGCAGGGCATAGAGATCAGTGAAGGAAAGATGGCCTTCACTTATCTCTATGCCCTTAAAGGACCAGAGAGACATCATTACGTCACTTCCGGTTCAGGAACCACGTAAACAAGGAATTTTTCTCATGCTTTACATTGTAGAGGAGAGATGTGGAGTTTTATTGACCCCAGGTCTCTCCATAAAGACATCCTGTCACTGTTTATTTCTAGCACAAGGGATGTTTGCATTCCTTGTGATAGGAATAAGTGATTTAAAAAAAAAAAAAAAAAAACAGTAAAAAAAAAAAAAAAAAAATGGTTAAAGTGCCCCCATGCTCGTGCACAGTGAACACATACTTAAGCCACGCCCACATACGTAAATGGTGTTTAAATCACACGAGTAATTCTAGCATTAGACCTCCTCTGTAACTTTAAACTGGTAGCCTATAAAAAATTTTTAAAGCATCGCCCATAGCGATTTTTAAAGTACCGTAGTTTGGTGCCATTTCACGAGCATGCACAATTTAAAAGCATGACATTTTGGGTATTTACGTAATGCAACATCTTTCATATTTTACAAAAAAATTGGGATATATATTGTGTTTGCTATTCATTAAAGTGCATTTGCAAAATACATATTTTTAAAAACCAGAATTTTTATTTCGATGCACCGTCACACAGCAGTTTTTTAAATGCAAATTTTTGGGGCAAAATACACTTTAATGAATTTTAGTGAGCACAAAAACACAGTACACCTTTTGGCAAAAAATCTAAAAGATGTTACGCTAAGCAAATATAAAAAATGTCATGCTTTAAAATTGTGCACGCCTGTAAAACAGCGACAAAGTACAGTACATTAAATTATCCACAGGTGATGCTTTACAGGTTACCACTTTAGAACTGCACAAAGGTCTGGCACTAGAATTACTGCTCTCACTGGGACATTCATGGTGATACCTCACATGATGCGATTGCTGTCTAATTATTCGTGCGAGAGACCAGTGTGTGTTCACCTTTGTGCACAAGCATGGGATGGGTGGGGTGCACTTTTAATTTATTTTTTTGCTATCACAAGGGATGAACAACATGTCATTTCCAGTTTCTGATATCACACAGAGGGAGGAACAAGATCAGTTCCTCTCACTGTGGTCAGCAGTTGATGCCGCCAGTGGCATCCTTACTGTGCCCCCTCACCTTTTGCCACTAGTAAAAAGTACTCCAGCAGCTGTATAGCCACTAGGATTACTTTTATTTTGCAGATAATCAAAAGCTGTAGGGGGAAAAAAAAAAAAAAAAAAAACCCAGAATGACTGTAGCTGCAGTCACAATCCTGATATAACCACCTCAATACTAGTACATATATGTACATACAGCAGTATTGAGGTGGTTAAACAAGCAGCTAGCAGGCTTTAGCAGGATTGCAGCAAGCTTCTAGTAGTGCTGCGGACCGATAGCAGCTTATTTAACGTGACAATCAGCTCTCTTATTAGGATCTGTGTTCAGCAGTTAAAAACTGGCACAGCAGGACACTTTAAATGCTTAACAAAGCTTGCTGAAAGCTCTGGGAATGCTTTTAAAAGCTTGCTTTTCACACTCTTCTTATACTAGCTGAAGACCCTGTCAAACAGGACTTACTGCAGACTTCTGTGAAAATCAGTTAGCCAATCACACAAGCAGTAAACTGCATTCTGGGGAAGTGTTGTACACCAACTATGCACATGCAGTCCCTGGGTTGTGGACAAGATAGTTTCCATAGGTTTGTTCTTAAGCTGAATTTTTTCTGTAAGTTGGAACAGGTACATTTTTAAGTAACTTTAGCCAAAAAATTATTTTTACATTTTGGATAGCATAAAGAAGTGTTAACTGCCCATGCAGTGATGGGGGATTGGTGACAGGTCCAACGGACAGTAGGTGGCAGCATGGCAGCAAGATGGCCGCCTGGCCATTTATCCGGGACCAGCATGATGTCACACTGTCTGCAATCTAAAAGAAGAACTCAGAGATAGGCAAAAAAAAAAACCACAACACATTACTACGCACCTCTACACAACACTAAACAGTTAAAAACATATTGAAAATCCTTGCCATTTGGGAGAAAAGTCTAAGGCTAGGTTTACATCTCCGCGTTCCTGTGGGCCGTGTCGTGCGCAGACACGAGAGCCCGTTCACTTGAATGGACTCCCGTACCCAAGGACACACAGGGAAGAAGTCCCTGCACTTCTTCGGAAAACTCAGCCTGCATGGGAAGTGAGGTGCCCAGTACGGTTGCAATTTCTAGTGCAGACAGCATGCCATTAGAATTAATGGCACCTGCCCGCGGGTCCTCATTCCTCTGTGCGGCTGTATGGATTTGTGTGTGGATCCGCAGCAGCACCACCCACACAGATGTGAACCAGGGGTAAGTGCCGGTTCACATATATGCAGATTAGATGCAGCTTAACCACCTCAATACCGGCACTTTTACCCCCTTCCTGCCCAGACCAATTTTCAGTGCTCTCACACTTTGAATAATTATTCAGCCATGCAACACTGTACCCAAATGAAATTTTTGTACTTTTTTTCCACACAAATAATGCTTTATTTTGGTTGTATTTAATTAGCATTTTTTTTTATTTTTTGCGCTGTAAATTAAAAAAGACCGAAAAATAAAAAAAAAAAAATAAAAATAAAAAAAACCCACACACATTTTTCTTTGTTAGAAATTCTTGCAAATAAGTAATTTTTCTTCATAAATTTGGGTCAAAATGTATACTGCTACATTGCTTTGGTAAAAATAATCCTAATCGTTGTGCTTGTGGTGATTGTAGTTGTATTAGTGCACTTGCGACACAAACAATTCAGTACTGTCCGTGATACTTTTTTTAGTTGCACTAACATACAATTTTGAGGACAAGCTTTCGGGGTATGTCCCCTTCTTCAAGGTCCAAGCAGTACTGTTACAAAGTTTTAGCAGAATGTTAGAAGATATGTGGGGATTGAGAAGAAAAAAAAAAAAAAAAAAAAAAAGGAGAAAGAAACACAAGCCTAAGGTTAGCCTAGAGATAAGACACAGCAAAGCAAAAGCAAAGACTGGGGGGGGGGGGGGGGGGGGGGGGGGGGGGGGGGGGGGGGGGAGCACTCACAGAGGGAGTCATAAATATGTTGGATAATGATTGAGGAAACCCATGTCCAAATTAAGGCCATCATCTCTTGTGTCAAATATAATTATCATTCTTAGTTCAAAAGTTTTTCTTCTTTCCTGAACGGATTAGAAATTTCCTTTAAGAGCTAAAACATTGAGGTCTTCCATAATATGGTCTGGTTGTATGAAATAGTGTCCTACAGGTGTGCAAAGGTCATCTTCTTTATGTTCCTTGATGGTATGTCTGTGCAGATTCATCCTTGTTTGCAACTTCTGTCCTGTTTCTCCAACATAAGATCCTTTGCTACACTTTCTGCACTGGATAAGGAACACAACATTACTGGAGGTGCAGCTGTATGAGCCAGAGATATTGAAGATCCCTTTTGAGTGTCTGACAATTTTTGATGGATTGATTTGGTTGCACAGTTTGCAGCGTTTTTTATTACAGGGTTCATTTCCATTATTTGTGACCTCATAATCAGAAGGAAGTTTCCTACTGATTAGTTTATTTCTGAGGTTGGGGGGGGGGGGGGGGTTGTCTGTGAAGGCCAGTATTGGGGGTTGCAGGAATATTTCTTTCAGAGTTCCATCCTCTGTTATGATGGGTCGTAAATCTTTGATTATTTTTCTTATTCCTTTTAGTGCTGGGTTGTATGTGGTTACTAGAGGTACACGGTTGTTTGTTTTTTTCTCTTTGTACTGAAGCAGATTTTCTCTTCGTGTTCTCAAGGCTGTGTTTATGCTGGTGTTGATAGTTTTGTCCTTGTAACCTGTCTTATGGAAGGAGTCTGCTAGTGTCCCGAGATGTTTATCTCTGTCTTTTGGGTCAGAACATATTCGGTGGTATCTAATGGCCTGACTGTGTATGATGGCACGCTTTTTCGTCTGTTGGGAGTGGAAGCTGGAACTGTGGAGGTAGTTGCATCTGTCAGTGGGTTTCCTGTATGTTGAGGTGTGAAGTGTATCATCCC